CCCATGTGATCCCCCAAGCACTGCCAGGAGTAATTCCTGAGTGCAGAGCCAGGAGTAACCCCTAAGCATCACCGGGTGTGACTGAAAAAGCAAAAAAAAAAAAAGACTGTGAGATGGGGTCCCAAGAGATATTCCAGGGCTAAGGTGCTTGCCTTGCATGAGGCTGAGCTCCATTCAGTTCCGGCATTGTGTCTGGTGCCTGGTGTACGGCCTGCATTGATTCCTGAGCACAGAGTCAGGAATAAGCCCTGAGCACTGCCGGTATGGGCCAAATCAACAACAAAACAGAACAAAAGATCTGTGAGGTGGAATACTGGTCTTGTGTCTCTGAGAACTTGGGTTGAAATGCTGGCCCTGTACAGAAAGACACTGGGAAGTACACTGTGTAGTGAGAAATAAACCAAGTTGGACATTAGGGTAAAGCTTATGCAAGTAAAGAACAGGTGAAAGAAAAAACGCTTCACAAGTGATCAGAATTGGAACTATTTATACATCTGGGCAGGTACTCACCTGTATAAATACAGAGCCACAAAGTGCTCGAGGGACAAAGCAGTCCCCACCATCACACAAACATGCAGGATCCAAAGGTCCTGCCTGAGTTTCGCTTGGTTCCGAAGCCCACGCTTCTGACTGTTTTCCTGCAGAAAGTAATGATACTTCTTGAGAATCCACAAGATTCTAAAAATACCTCTGCCGGCTGCAGTGGCACAATTAGTGAGGCTGCTGTCCCAGGAAAGCCTCGTCACCATTTTGCTTAGATCAGAGAACGGATTAACTTTGATGTCTGTCTGAACCCCAGAGAGACACCACTGGGGGGTCCGCTCCCTGCAAGCATTCAATCTTCCCATCCGAGGCGAGAAGCAGGAGGCCCCAGCTAGAAACCCAAACCAATTTTTTTTCCCTCAGTGATTGAGATGAAAATACACACTAGGAGTCCCGACGTATTTGACTTGCATCGTATCTGCCCCCCAGCAGCCTCCTCCTGAGAACCACCACTGTCCCCCACCGACTCAAGCTTCACTTTCCCAAACAGTGTGAGCTGAGCTGTGAAACTCCTGGACTGTGCTGGAGGGAACAGCAGAGACTGCGGAACTCATGCAGGCTGTTGGTGGCCCCCCGAACCAAACTGACTCTCATTAACTCTAGTCTGAAACGAGTTGACTGTGAGCTCGGGTGGGAGGGGGGCTGGCCTGCAAAAAACAATGAACAATTGAGGGTCAGATTGCAAGGGGGGAGCTTTAGGACTATGGCCAGTTGGGCAGAAGAAGCTCAGCCGCACCTTAGCAATGCAAGGAAACTGCGAAACTGTGGAAGCATTTCTGGCCACCGGTTTCCACCATTCTCATCAATTCCTATTTCTGACCAGGTTGAGTCTGTACCCACTCAACCACCATTAGCTCCCTTAGTTGGCCAGGCAGTGTCTATCTGGTGTTACGGGCAGATCTCTGAAGCCAGACAGGCTGGAATTGAAGTCTGGATTTGAACCACATACTCTGGAGCTGATCATTTTTACCATGCCTCTGAAAATAGGGACCACCCCCCACTCTTCTCATTGGTGTTGGTGAGTACTCAGTGGGCAAGTCTCTGATAGTGACCAAATCCTGGCAAGTGTTTTAAAGTCTTGCTATTAGCGTGTGTGTGTGTGTGTGTGTGGGGGGGGGGGTGCACAAAGTCTTTGGACTAGCCATTCCACCAAGAATGCCAAGATGAGCCATCATTATCCAGAAGGAATGAGGAGCTATTATTAGAGGAAGCTGAGTGGCCGGAAATCAGATACTACCCACCATCACATCTCGGCTCAGACTTGAGGCGCCAGAAGGGCACCACACTCAGCTCTTAACTCCCTTTTGCAACCCTCAAAGTGCCTGGCACAAGGTTCAGTAAACATGGTTCAGTGACTGATGCCAATCGCATGCAAGGTTTTGCCTGGAATCAGTGAGCTCAACCGGTGGTACAGACAGGTCAGTAGTTCTCAGAAACAGGGAAGACACTGGAATTGGAGGGAAAACCTGCACTTGTTAGGGTCTGATGGCATGTTAAGGACGTGTAATTGTTTAGTGGAGAGGCTTCATAGGTGATTCAAATGGTGGAGAAGTATTATACTGTTTGTATAGATGAGTGTATTTGCATAGCTTGTTGACTCAGTGCTCAGCATGAGGGCACAGAGAAACCACTAGCTACTTGCCATGACACCTAGGGGGCTCATCTGCCTCTCCACTTGTCCTGGATTGGTCTTGGAGGCACTGCTGATTCTAGCACCCTCCATACTGGCTCTCATTGAATCTGTGGGTAGGATCCTGCCTGCCATCCTGCCAACTTTGCCTGTGGAAACACGGAAGACCATGTCAGTTTAGGGATCACGAGAGAACAAGCTGGTCTCGGCTCAGTGTGTTATCCCAGGTCACATTGGTGTGTGACTACGGCTCCCAGTGACCTGCTCTATGAATCAGGGCAGTCTCGGACGGGGATGAAAACCTCCTGCCCCCTTGGGGCATATTTGGAACTTTTTCTGTTGTTAAAAAAAATAATAAAATAATTCAACTCAAATAGGCTAGAGTGAAGTGGAGGCTTATTGGCTCCTGTTACTGAGAAGTCTATGGGTTTCAGGCACAGCTGACTCCAAGGACTCAAAGGTGCCATCAGCACCCGTATCTCTCCAGCTCTCTATTACCTTCTGCTCTACTGCCTTCACGCTAAGTCTCTAGTCCTGGTGGTTACAGAATCTCCTTCTTTCCACTTTAGATGTAGCTTCCCAATGGCTGGGAGAGACTATGGCTGGCTCTGCTTGGGTCAGGTGGCCCAATGGATGCAGCCCCACTGGGTGATCAGGCTGGAGTACAGGGCCACTCATTCCCTGTGCTAAGGAAAAGAGATCCAGGTTTGGCTGAATACTGAACTCATGGAGTTGGGAAAGAGGAAGAACTGGGGTGGTCCCTGTTTACCTGGGAACTGAGTAAGGGAGAAGAGAGGTTCTCCAGGGGCAACCCAGGCCACTATTAATAGAAAGGAGCAAAGTGGATGCCGGGTTGCTAAAATGACAATGTGCCTCCCACCTGGCTCTCTGACGTCACATGATACAGGTAGGCACCACTGCATCCCTCTGTTGAAGTCTTTCCGTCCTCACCCTAACAAGCTCTGCAAGGGCCTGAGGAGCCGCAGCCTGGTCTGCAGCCATCTGTCATCCCCCTCTGAAAGTCTGTAGCCAGCAGGAACATATCCCTCACTAGCAATGAGCTGCATCAGACCATTCGTTACCTCTTTATGTATATGTCCTGTCTCTTTATCCACATGCCAGGCTTCTGGAGAGCACAGGTCATTTCTTACTCATTTTTGTGTCCCCAGTAGCACCCTGCTTGGTGTTTGGGGCACGGCAGATAGTCCATAAATCTGCAGAGAGATTCAACAACTGATTTATGTGTTTCAGGAGTCACAGAGGTGGATGGTAGCTTGATTCAACTTACAACACTACAAAGAGGAAATGTGTGCCCTCAACACCATTTCTGAAAGCTCATAGATCTTTCATGGGCTAAATAATGCTGCCGGGGTCAAGATAAATATATCCTCTTTGCTCCCCTGCCCCGAGCAGCTGGTATCCTTCTTATTTAGAAAGGATTGAGTAAAAGACTGAGGAATGTCAGTCTCAGTAGCTGTTAGTCTGGGGGCTGGTTCCTCCGTGGCGAGGGCTGCGTGATGGTGGAGAGCTGCAGTGATAGTAAGAGGAAGTAGACACTTACTATCACTCCAACAAGCAATACTGAAGAGTCCCAAACAGCCCCCTTAGCTAACCATTAGCTCTGGTCCCTGTGCTGATCTTTGTACTCAATTCCTCAATTGTAACTTCCAGCAAAAGGTACAGGGGACGAGGAGGGCATTGAATGTCAAAAATATTGCGGGACAAAATAAATAAATAAAAAACGTAGTATGAGACTAATACCAAAGGACAGTAGGAATGAGGGCCAGGAAGATTGGTCCATGGTTGGAAGCTTGCCACACGTGGGGAGGAGGGCAGCGAGGATAGAGAAAGGACCACTATGACAATGACAGTTGGAAATCATCACTCTGGACAAGAACTGAGTGCTGAAAGGAAATAAAGGTATATACATGATAACCTTGTAGCACGTATATTGCAAACCATAATGTCCAAAAGAGGGGAGAGGGGGGAGAGGAAGTGAGGGAGGGAGGAAGGGGAGAGAGAGAGAGAGAGAGAGAGAGAGAGAGAGAGAGAGAGAGAGAGAGAGAGAGAGAGAGAAGAAAAGTATCTGCCATAGAGTCAGCCTGGGGGTAGGGTAGGGAAACTGAGACACTGGTGACGTCAAATGTACACTGGTAAAGAACTGGGTGTAGGAGCATTATATGACTGAAACCCAATCATGAACAATTTTGTAACCTTGTGTCTCACAGTGACTCAATTAAAAAAATTTTTAATGTGTACCTTGGATGTTAAAACAACTATCTTTCCAGAATAGTACTGGTCCAGAAATCCCCGGTGCTCCTGGTATCGGTATGGTCCTGCAAGCTATTCCTAGCGAGTTTTGCCATATTCCCTGTTATTTCCCCCAACTGGTCCTTAAGGAAGCCAAGTAACTGGCTCCAAAATTACTTGGGTTGCCTTCACCGGTAAAATGGGCGAGCGCTGGGTGGATTAAACACGGAAGGCATTTCTTATTTTGCAGACTGTCACTAACATCGAAGCAATAGGGGAAGGAAAAGAAGCCTTGCAGGACACGGCGTGATCAAAGTGTCACCACTTTGAATTTATGGACTCCGGCGGCTGAACTGGAACCGCGGGCACGGTAGGCGGGGCGCAGGTTCGGGCTCCTCCCCGGATGGCCACGCCCCTCCCGCCCCCCCCCCCGCTCCCAACTAGCCCCGCCCCTTCTGTTCCCGCTCCCAACTGGTCCCGCCCCTAGCTGGCCTCGCCCCGGCTGGCCCCGCCCCACGCCCCGCCCCCAAGACCCGCCCCGCCCTAGCCCGCCCCCAAGGCCCGGAAGCGAAAGCCTCTTCCGAGCGGAGGTCACGACCCGGCGGGCGGGGAGCGGGCTTCCGCGAGGGTCGGGCTGGCGGCGGGGCGGCTCGGAACCCCGGGCCCGGCGCTATGTCCCGGAACTTGCGCACCGCGCTCATTTTCGGCGGCTTCATCAGTGTGATCGGCGCCGCCTTCTACCCCATCTACTTCCGGCCCCTGATGCTGCCGGAGGAATACCGTGAGTGACCTCTGACCCCCGGCCCTCCCCGCGCCGTGACCTGGCGGGCGGTGACCCCGACGCCCAGCTGCGCCCGTGGCCTGGCGAGTGGAGCCTGCGGGGACCCCACTCAGACCCGGCGGTGACGGGGACTGCAGCGTGCACGCAGTAGGTCCACGCGCGCGTGCACGGCCTGCTCGCCACCCACGCGCACCCCGCGTGTCTCGGGGCTCGGTTCCGGCCCATTGGGGCGCTGCCTTGACCCAGCCCCGCTTGGAGCCCGGTGCCCGATACCCACTCTGCGTATGGCGAGACTGAGGCGCACAGGGGTTGTGCAACAGGCCCGGGACTCAGGGCTGGTAAGGGGCAGAGCAGAGAGAGCCCAATCGAGGCCTCTTGGAAGAGCAGCTTTTTTTTTTTTTAATTTTTTTTATTTTATAAAGTTGTTCACAATAATTGATTCCATCAATATCCCAACACCAATTCCACCACCATTATACCTTCCCGTCACCGCTATTTCAAATTTTCCGACCACCACCCTAGCCTGCCCCAAAGGCAGGTCCTAAATCATTTATTTGGTATTGCTTGTTGTGGCTAATTTCGCCAAAAAATGATCCAAAAGAGGTGGTTGTCTTACAGGAAGGTGTGTGAAAATTGTTGTATCTCACCTTGGAGCCCTAAAGCCCCAGTATAAGAGATCACCGACGTGTTGTTACGGGTTGAGCCTTGTGTGCTAATATCGAGATTGGTTGCCTTCTACTTTATTAGAGTCGCTTTTTGGGTCTGAAACGGGGACCTGTGATCGTGGGGTGGGAGGGAGATGGACCCCCCCCCATGGTCCCCAGCATAAAGGTGCTTTCATTGTGCTTGATTTCAACGTGCCCACTGATGTCTGTGTGAAAATGTTTCCAAGATAAACGGTTAGCCTGGGGTTTGGAGTTCTTCCTCTCCTTTCTCAAATCTTTTTCTTTCTTGTCTTTTTTTTGATTTTGCTCTCTTCCTTCATTTTAAGCTGCTTGCCCTCATGCCAGTGGTGAATATCCAGGGAGTGATTTCTTCCTTAATCATTCAAGTCCCATCATTTTAAAAGCCAAACTCTCCTTCCCCGAGACCCATACCTCAGCAAGGATTAGCACTTTGATACATCGGAAACCATCTGTCAGGGAGAAAATATTAGGCATTAGAGGCTCGTTTTTGTCCTCCAGGAAACCAGCGTCATCTTGAAGATGGAGAAGCGCCAGCCCTGCCCCTTGAGACTACTGGCACAGGCGAGGCGAGAGCTTGGTGTAAATGCTCTCTGCCCATTACATGTCAGTAATATTTGGTGTCTAGAGGAGGCAGCACTTTTCCCCGACACCCAGATTTCCGTGCAGCTTCAGCCAGCCAACCAGCATGGACGTGCCCCCTGTGCCCTCTAACTGAGATTTCCGTGGGCCACTGGGGAGCAGTGTGGTCCATCTGTCCCCACTATTCCCTGGCTCCAGGTGACTTCACTGGGTAGAGTCGGGGTGGGGTGGGGGCCTGTTTTGGATCCCACTAGAAAAGTCCCATTCCTGCAGTGAAGACCGATGCCTCAGCAGGGGGCTTGCTATTCCCCAGTGTTCTACAGGGGAACTCTCGGTCACAGTGGGAGCCACGGTGGAGAGGAGTGTGCTGGTGGTGTCCTACTGGGCGGAAGTCACGGTGCTGCTCTGCTCTCTGTCATGCCCAGAGCACAGGCCCCAGGCTGAGGACCCTTGCCCTGGGCCAGGTGATGGGAGGTATGGATGGCCTTGGACTGCTATGCCCGCAGTCTCCTTGGGAGACCTGGAGTAGTTGGTTGCCCTAGTTGCTGGAGACGGACAGAGCGGGCTCTTCTCATACACATGTAGCCCATGTGGCTCTCTTTGCATTTTTACTTTATTTATTTATTTAGGTTTTGCAGCCACACCCATTGGTGCTCAACGGTCACTCCTGGCTCTGCACTCAGGAATTATTCTTGGGAACTCTATGGGGGTTCTGGAGATTGACCCCAGGTGGGCCGCGTGCAAGGCCAACACCCTACCCGCTGTGCAATCTCTCTAGCTCCTGTCTTTGCATCTTTAACTGGCTCGCAGTCCAGAGCAACCCACTTTCTGGTTCCATTCTAACTCATTTGGCCAGCTGGTAAGGGAAAGGCATGAATCTTCAAGTGGGTGACGGCGGATCAGTTCATTGAAGTGTCTGGCACTTTTTAAAGCCACTGCCTCTATGTTGCCCCGTTTAGTTCTCATATCAACCCAGTGGGATTTGCACTGTGTTTTATTTTTATTTAAAAAATACAAAATCGGAAAAAAAAAAACATTCTAGTAGTGGCCAGAAAGAAAATGCATCCGGTAAGGCGTATTGCCCACCTGGGCTTGATCCCTGCTACCACATACGCTCCCACAGTGGTAGTGCTCCAGCTGTTGGTGCAGGGGGTCGAATCCAGTGCCTCCCACATGCAAGGCACGCCGTCTCCCACTGAGCCATACCCCAGTCCCAGCTCTGCGGTTTGATCCACTGATGTGGTCCAAGATTTATTTACTTGGTGGCTTGGTGTAGATCCATTTTTGCAACTACTTCCCATGCTTTGGGATGTTTATTCTCATTGCTGGGTAAAAGTTGTTCTGTATATGTTGATTCCAAATCAAGTTTCTTAGTTCTGTTACTTAGATATCTTGAATATCTAATTAAGTAACAAAGCTAAAATATTCTGATTGTCATAACTGCTTTTGTTGGGGATCATTCGGTTCCTCTCACATGCAAGGCAATCACTCCACCACTGAGCTCCCTCCAGGTGCCCTCGAATCATCCGGGGTTTGATCTCGCCCGCACGGCAAAGCCTGGTGAGCTACCTGTGATGTATTAGATATGCCAAACATAGTAACAACAAGTCTCACAATGTTACTGGGCCCGCTCGAGCAGATCGATGAACAACAGGAGGACAGTGACAGTGATGAAAATACCCTTATGTAAGGGCCTTCTTTATAGGTCATGTACCAGCGTTATAGCTCATGTACCAGCGCAGCTCTCTTAAAATACTTTTGTCCTTTCTTTAGTATTTTCCTGGCTTATATATTATTTTTATAAATATATACTCTATATATTCCTCTTATATTCAGCCTTTATTTGTCCTCAATCTCATAACCAGGCACTCCTGGGACTGAGTTTTCATAAGTGTCATCCCCCAGAGGTGCAAGGGGGTCTGGGGGCTCCCTGGGATGCTCTGGCCCAGCAGTGTGGACCTGACCTGGCAGTGCATGGCCAAACATCATGGTTTTTGTGTTCTGTGGCACTTGGGGGGCACCAGGGCCAAACCCAGCAGTACTGGAGTATGTGTGTGGCGGGGGGGGAGGGCGGTGCTGTGCTGAGGATTGGACTCTGGGCCAAACACCTCAACCTCTGCTGGACTTTCCTGAGTGCAGAGCCAGGAGTAACCCTTGTGCATCTCTGGGTGTGACCCAAAAAGCAAAAAAAAAAAAAAAAAAATCCATTTTAGGGGCCGGAGACATAATACAGTGGGTAGAGTGCTTGCTTATGCGTGGTTGACCCAGATTCAATCCCTGGCACCCCATATGGTCCCCCAAGCCTGCCAGGAGTAAGCCCTGAGCACTGCCGGGAATGGCCCAAATACCAAAATTTAAAAAAAAAATTTTTTTTTAATCCATTCTAGTGGCTATAGAGAAGATACAGCTGGTTTGGCAGTCACCTTGCAAATAGCCCAGCTGGGCTCCATCCCCCACGCCACATGCGGTCCCAAAGTCCAGCCCGGAGTGATGCCTGAGCACAGACCAGGAGTTTGCCCTGAGAATGGCCAGATGTGGTACCCTAAAAAAATCCATTCGAATAGTCTTCTAAGTGTGATTTTTCCTTTATATTTTATGAATCGATTGACATTGTTTTCATAATTGCATTTGTTTTCCATTCTTCCTCATCTGCCTTTAAGGCCTCTTTCATTTTCTCCCCTCTGCTAGTTTGACAGTTTAGTATTCTGTCATGCTTTCGTGATGACTGTTGAAAGTTTAGTCAATATCGTTTCCAATCCTTTGAAAATACACAAAGTCTCTGCAGTGGCAGCCTCTCCGCTGACTTGGAATCCTGCTTCATCCTGCGGTTTGCACCCCCATCACTGGGCACCTCTGCTTTTTCATGCAGTCTCTGATGCCTCTCTTTCGCCTGTGTTCCTTACTCTCCCATCCCTCTTTCATCTGCCTCCTTTCTACTTTCAGTATTTCTTTATTCTGAAATACATCTGTTAATAGATCTTGGTGAGGATTTGTAAAGTGGGAAAAAAAAAGAAAAGATCCGTTCTTGCTTGGCAGAAAACGTATTTAGCACTCCAGGTCTTCCTCTGCGCCTGAAAAGTCTATTGTTGTGCCGTTTGCTCTCTGAGCTGGAGCATCTCGCGTCCTTGATGGTCCTCAGTGAACCTCCGCCTCCCAGTGCGTCTGGGGGTGGCCTCAGCTCCGTCAAGGGGAGCTTTCAGCTTCCCTCTCCACCGTCTCATGGACGGCGGAGAAGAGCAGACGGGTAGAGGGCTTGTTTGGCTGGCAGGTGTGAGGCCCTGGGTTCAGTCCCCGGCTCAGTAGAAGGGTCAGGGGATAGGAGGCTGGCCAGGCTGCTGGTTGAGGAACCAGGGGGCGATGTTGGCTATGGGGCTCTGTGGGTTGTATTGGCCTCAAGGGGCAGAGGCAGGGATGGACAGCGGCTGGTCTCTCTGGCTCCTGCCCCTTGGTTGTCGGGGAAGACACTCAGGAAGGAGTCGCTATGTGGCCTCGAGGGCAGGTTCACGCTGTTCCAGCCACGGTGCAGGGGGTGCCCTGGCCAATGTTCCTGCCTGGGGTGGTGATGAACTCTGAGCCGCCCGTGCTGCGCCATCTGCAGGGGACGGGGCCGTTGCAAGGGGCTAAAGTGGGAAGATGCTCCTGGGGGAGATGGGGGCCCAGCAGGAACTACTCCAGAGAGAACTGCAGGCAGGAGCCCCCAAAACTGCCTTGGGAAAAGCCGGGTGGTGGGGAAGG